CTCACTGGTTCTCTGCTTTTGCAGCTCCTCCATACTCAGGCAGCCCCAGCACAGGCAGGCGTGGGCCCGCAGTCCCAGACAGGGTGACCTAGGGAAGGCGCAGCACACGCCGAAGCTGAGAGAGCGCAAGGCTCAGTACGGGACAGTGCATCTCCGCTGAGGAGGAAGCCATGGGAGCCAGCAAGTTCACTGTCATCCGACAGCAGGGCCTGGACATGGTTCAGCAGCCGGGGCCGTCGCCTGTCGGTGCAATGGCAGGAAGTAAGTGGTCCTGTCAAGCCGGCAGCCTGCAAGGGGGGCTGCCCTTCTTAGCCCCCCGTTTCAATGCAGTGAAGTGAGGAGACTTTTGAGACTCAACTAGGAGCATCATGCTCGTGCGGACACCGGTGCAAATTCCCACAGTTCTCCCAGTTTTACCCCTTCACTCACAGGCATCAAACCTGACGGACGCGACCCCTTGCGGGAGTTGAGAGTGCTCCTTCTCAGGGTGTTCCTCCCATCGACACTGAAATTGAGTGTTCATGTTTATTATTTCATGAAAGACATTCATGACAATTTATAAACATCATCCAGAATCCCACCACTGCAACCTATTTTGGTTCACTCTCTTTTTTCCAGGTCTCTTCAATGTGAATACATAACAGCATGTGGTTGAAATCATAGCCTGGATCCAGGCTCAATCCCTTTTCTGGGTGAAATGGTTCGATATTGTCTCATCCATGATAGCATCATCGTAGCACTGGAGTTACTTGAATTTTAGGTTGTTTCCAATTTTTCGCTATCCCTGCACTGAATTAAACAGCATTGTCCTTTACAACCGTTCTTTCTTGTGGATTCCTCTCACTGTTCTACTGACTTCTCAGGAGTGGAATTCCTGGGTTGAAGAGCATGGTGCCTTTCTTTGGCTCTTCATCCTTGAGTCAGATGGGTTGTATCAATGTAGGTACTAACTAAGCCCATTTTCCCGTGTTCCTGTGCCTTCTAGGTTACGGAGGAGACAAGCCTCGTCCTGCAGACCCTCGGATACACATGCACCTGTCGAGGAATAATCAACGTGAAAGGAAAGGGGGACCTGAAGACGTACTTTGTAAACACAGAAATGTCAAGGTCCCTTTCCCAGAGCAATGTGGCATCCTGAAGAGTCACCTTCATTTTGGCAAGAAGACTGTATTTTCAGGAAGGTATCACACACTTTCTGACTGCAACTTCTGTCCCTTGTTTTTGATGTGCGTGCTCTGTCTGTCCTATGGAGCCTCTGCAGACTCGTTCCCGTGACCCAGTGGCATACCGTTTGGTGTCTGACGTGTGCCCAGATCGTTCTGCCACTTGCACTGTGCTTGCTCCTAAGCAAAAGGGAAAAGGAGCGTGCGTGATAGAAGAAAAGCATTGAGAGAACTAACAAAGAGGAGAGAGGTGAAACACACACACATTCTTAAGGCAATAAAACTAGGGGGTGTATATTATCTTCTGGTGCATGTTCTTTTCTGGAAAATATGGTAGCTCGCCAACCGCATCTGCTCGTCTGATATTCAAACACACAGTATTCGTGAATAAGTTGATTCTGTCCCTCACATGGAGTCTGTGCTCACCCATTGTCTCATTGCCAGTGGTGTCCAAGGGCCCCCGTTGGGACCCACGGCTCTCGTCCCTCTGCTCCATGTGTCTCATGCCAGCAGCACGTTGCCATCCGTCACCAGAATTAGTCTTCACAGCCTAGGACCAGTTTTGTACCAAACTCGTCTGATGTTTTGATGCCATTTGTCTTTTGTAAAGTTAATTCATTAAAAGTTTTATGTACTTTGATGTACAGTGCCTGTATCTTTTATTTTCCTGTCTTCTTTCTTCTGTGGTTTGCTCCAGAATTAAAGTGTGTTTTCCATCCGTTCTCCCTTTTGACACAGTTGTTTCGGAAAGAGCTCTCCAGAAGCCAATGTTGAAATGTAATTCAGATTAGGACACAGTGTGTGACGCAGATAATTGGTTACTCAGCTCCCTGGAAAGCAGGCAAGCATGTTGAATGTATCTAGTGGTCTGATTTTAATTTGGGCATCTCTAGGGAATGCTTTCAGGGACAAATACTTTACTAGTAAAAAGATTCTCTGCGAGCAACAGTGCCCCCTCCGTCCACTATGCTCCTGTCTACAGGAATGTTTTGCTAGACCTAACAGAAATGGACTGCAAAAGAATAATGTGGAACCAGCTATGCAAATCAGTCTCACAATAGCGTGAACTAACTGAGAGAAGTACTAAGTCCCACAGACTGCCTGTTAAGTCTGAGAAGGCTAAAGAAGACACACAGCCAACGTTCATGCATTTTTAAAGACAGAAGACCTTGAAGAATTTGTTCTTGTCAATCCAATACAAGTTGTTTGGTACTTATAACATAAAGAAATCATACTTTGCCAAATAGTGAAAAGTAGAGCAATCATGTGTAATCTAATGTTTAAAAGCAAAACTGCAAATTGTAGCCCAGTTGGTCAAACTTGTTTTCTTTTTATAGCTCATGGCAGGCATCTGTAAGAGGTAGAGGACCCAGATGATCTCTTAGGAAGCCTTTTATTCGTGGAACTCGAACTTGAAGCACAAGTTCCTGGTTTGATTCCTGGCTCTGATTTTTTACCAGCTGTGTAACTTTGAACACATCTCTTAGTCCCTCTTAGGAGTACTTTCCTTATTGGCAACTCATGGAATCGCTAGTGATTAAACGAGGCAATGACCGTGAGAGCCTGGCTGGGCCTGCACAGTCACAGCACGGGCACCGCTGCTGTGCCAGGACTGTGACTCATTCCCAGTAAAAGGCACTTGTCGAAGCTGATAACCATCCTTTATCACCAAAGTGTGAGTAGAGCATGACTTATTTAGTATTCTGCCTCAACGGGGAATTTTTTGATCCTGTAATCACAACTCAGCATTGGCCTTAATATCCCTAGATCTCCAAAAACAGTGGTCGAAGCAAGGGCTTTTCTCTTTCCTCTAATCGAAATCTGGACTAGGATGTCGTAGCATTTCCATGAGCTCAAACTGGCCATGGTGTAGAATGTGTAAGGATGAGCAGCAGGTGTGCCTCGTGGGTTCCTCCTCTGTTACATCCTGCTACACTCATCCGCAGGTCTCCTTGGGTAACCTACCCTGAGTGAACACCCCCAGCTGGGTGGTCCACCAAGTTCTCGTAAACAGAGTCCCTCCCATTCCCCCATGTGGTGCACTGAACTTGGGTTTGTGCTAAAAGAACTCAAAAGGAGAATTGTGCTCTCCGAAAGCCATATCACCAGTCTTACCAAACAATAGGCTTTTAAAAGCATTCCGAGTCATTGTCAGAATCCACTGTGGGAAGCTCTGTGTGCACCTGGGCCGTTCTAGGTGTGGTCCCATGGCAGCAGCCTCAGCATCCCCTGGAAACTTATCAGAAATGCAAATTCTCAGGCCCCAACCTGAAGGAGGACCCTGAATCTGAGATGCCCGGGGTGAGGGCCCAGCACAATTGCTATTTAGTGAACAGGTTCTCCTGATCCCAGGTGATTCTGATCCCTGATCAAGCTTGAGACCTCCCTCCCTCCCCAATGTTTTTGCAAATGAGGAAACTGGGGCAGAGTAATTCAGGCACATGTGTTCAGAGTTCCACAGTTGATTAGCAGTTGAGGCCAGGCTAGAATGGAAAACTGCCTGTTCCCTGACTCTAGAAGAGCATTACTCCTGCTCAAAGCTCCTTAAAGCTCTGGGCAGCTGAAAGCATCCCTGTGAGCAAAAATGCCAGGCAGAAAACTGGCAGTGCGCCTCCCACCGGCCAGGCAGAAAACTGGCAGTGCGCCTCCCACCGGCCAGGCAGAAAACTGGTAGTGCGCCTCCCACCGGCCAGGCAGAAAACTGGCAGTGCATTGCTCATCAGCCCAGGTCCCAGTGCCATTGGTTTCAAGAAAAAATTCTCTCCCCAGTGCTCTCCTTAAAGTCTTACAGGAAGCGTCTCATGGAAATTGCCTCCAGTCCAGTTACCTAAAAACGCCAGTGTTTTACATATCTGTTTAGAAGTGTCTAAGTTTTGTCATCAATCCCCGATGTTATTCTTCCTTCCCAACTCACTGTGCTCCTAAAGACAGCAACCATTGATCTTTCCTTTGCTCTGAATACACTGAATGACCAGGTAACATCATCAGGCCAGGTGCAGTGGCTCATGCCTGTAACCCCAATATTTTGGGAGGCCGAGGAGAGAGGATCACTTAAGCCCAGGAGTCTGAGACCAGCCTGGGCAACATAGTGAGACCCCACCTCTACAAAAAAAAAAATAAGAAAATTAGCTGGGCATGGTGGCACGTGCCTGTAGTCCCAGCTACCTGGGAGGCTGAGGTGGGAGGATCACTTGAGTCCAGGAAGTCTAGAATGCCGTGAGCCTTGATTATAACACTGCATTCCAGCCTGGGTGACAGAGCGAGACTCTGTCTCACAAAAAAAAAAAAAAAGAGAAAAAAGAAAAGAAAAAGAAACACAATTGCCCAGTGATGAAAATTTATAAACCAAAACAATCCATTAATATAAGAATATATTATCTTATGTGTGATGAGTTTAACAAGCATTCATGCATTGGCTTTAAATGATAAACATTGGGATACCAAGAGAAATACACTTAATTTCCTCTTACAAATGTGAGATCTTTTGAAATCTTGGCCAATTACAGCCCTGCCTTTTGAAAGTCAGTATGTAGTAGAAGGTGAAGGGAGTAAGGTCTGACTTAAAGTAAATGAAAATAATTTAGTTTGACATTAATTTATTACAGTCACTTACAGATGCCTTGTCTTTGTTGAAATCAAGTCTGAATAATGCATAATTTATAAATATTTCTATAACCCAAACTTTATATATTTTCTATTATGTTACTATAAATATGGTATAATGCACCCAAAGGCATTCGAAATAAACTACTGCCATTTGTTTGAAATAAATAAAAGACACCTACACTGAAAAATTGTTTTCAAAAAAATAAAGAAATATTTAGGAGTCACTCAACCTTGAAATTGCCGGCAATTCAGTGTCATTTATTTTTAGAGAATCCTCTTTGCATATTCAAAACAATAAAACCAGTGATAGAGCAATCAGCATTGAAATTAATTAGGCCACCTGCCCGTTCACTGCTAAACTGTGGGAATTTAATCATGGTAGACGAGAGATGATTTCTTCCAAGGGGTCCATTCATTTAAAACGTAGCTGATACCTTAACACTTGGGTGAGTTTCAAATTATCCCCAGAGTAAGTATTTCCAACTTAGGTTAAAAGCGACTGCTTCCAAAAAGAAGACTGTTTAAAGTCAAGTCATTGCTGTGAAGATGGGGCACTGGGTGGGGCACGCACTTGGGTACCTGTACCTGCACTCCGGCAGCTCATTGCCTCCCACATGAACTCTTCTAGGTTTGGAAACTCCACTTTAAAGATGAGGAAATGTCTGCTCATATAGATGATATGACTTGCCCTAGAACACAAATGTAGAAAATGCAGCAGCCAGAATTTTACCCAAGTTTGTTGACACCGAAATCTAGTCTCTTCCCAGGACTGGCCCTCTCTCCCTGGGCAGTAACAGTGAGCACTGCTGGCCACCAGGACCACCCATCCTTACTAGGGCTCCTGGTCCCAGCTGCACTAAATTCTGTTACTTGTGGCTCAGACCTCTGGAAAAACAAAAATGGAGTCTCTAGAGTTCAGTTGTGCCAAAAGACAATTGTCATTGTATCTCCTCTTGGAGAAGGGAACATGGCAGGGTTGCTTGTGTTACCAGGGTTGCTTGTGTTCCCATAAGTCTTCGGAAAAGTAACTGCACCTCACTCCTGTGACTGCCTCCCCAAAGAATCCTAGCAAATGTAGAGAGCTGGTGACAAAAACCAACCCAACCATTACCAAGGGGGAACAAAGTTTTCATTTTATTCAGGTGCTCACAGTGAATCGGTCTCTGGTATCATTTGATCAAAAATAATTCCAGCTGAAAATCATCACACCAGAGACTCTTCACATGTACTGAAGGTGCTTTTGGTCAGGCTCCTAACGACAGCAACCTGAGGGAAGCTGCTAACCTTCATGTGTCCCACTGTAGAGATGCAACACAGGCAGAGCCAAGCTCCTAGGTGTCATGGGAAGGGGAAAGAAGGCTCCAGACGCCACCTTCTTGCTGTGCAACCTTGCCAGCCCACAGGGCATCGCGACATGCCCTGTGGACCACAGGGATGCTTCAGGCTGGAGCCATGTGCCCAAAGCCGGGTGCCTTGAGGCTGGCAATGTCGTTCTTCCTGTAGAAGTCAGCCTGCACGTGGTTGACGCGGCCGAAGTCCCGGTTTAGGGGTTCAATGGGCTGACGGATGCGCTTCCCATAGACAGAAGACGTCAACACTCCAACCGGCCTCTCCTGTTCCTGGTGAAAGTTATCAAAGCACATCGTCAGCACCACTGCATTCGCCAGCACAGCTCACCCGTACATCCATCAGCCTGGTCCTGGGAGCTTTACCTGCCCGGGTCCCATCACGGTAGACCAAGAGGGGACCTCCACGCTGAAGCCAGCGGCTTCACAGGGAAGTAGCCTATGGTGGGGAACCGCTGAATTTGCTAGAAAGCTGGCTGGTGTATTCACTGGACATGTTGGGAAACTGTGCCGGACCATTTGCTCTACCTGTCTGTCTCTGTGCTCTTCCTGGTCATTTACCCGCCCCTGCTGCTGCTGGTCCCTTCCCACCACCCAGATCCTGCCTCAGATGTCCAGGTCCTCCCTGGCCCCGCCCCTCCCCAGCTCCCTGCTCATCCCTCTCACTTTCCCCCTCTCACATCCTCACATGGCTTCCTCTTCCCACATACCACTCATCACCACCTAGAATTTGCTCGTCATTTCTTTTTTTCTTCTCTTTTTTTCTTTTTCTTTTCTTTTTTTGTTTTTTGTTTGTTTGTTTGTTTGTTTGTTTTGAGATGGAGTCTTGCTCTTGTCGCCCAAGTTGGAGTGCAATGGTGCAATGTCAGCTCACTGCAACCTCTGCCTCCCGGGTTCAAGCGATTCTCCTCCCTCAGCCCCCCAAGTAGCTGGGATTACAAGCGTGCACCACCATGCCTGGCTAATTTTTATATTTTCACTAGAGACAGGGTTTCCCCATGTTGGCCAGGCTAGTCTCGAGCTCCTGACCTCAGGTGATCCGCCCACCTTGGCCTCCCAAAGTGCTGGGATTACAGACGTGAGCCACCACACCCAGCCCATGATTTCTTTGCCTTTACTTTTTCTGTCTTCCTTCGGGAATGGCAGCTCTGAGAGGATGGAGCCTTTTTCTGAAAAACTATGTGCCACAGTTTTCTCCTGAGGAAAACACTAACTTTGCATCAACTTAGAAGGCACCACATGTGCTGCTTATGGTGGCTTTGTAACTAAACTTGGAAGAAATGTTCTCGTGTGCACAATTTCAGCTCTGCAAGACCAACTTTTCTGGAAAGATTATGAAAGTCCGGACTCAGCGGTGAAGCAGAGACTAGTTTTATCTGTTGAAGGGAACGTCTTAGCTTTGCGGTCCTTAAATTTTTAAATTCTAAAGAACCAAACAACAATATCAAGAAAAATACACAACGACATGACTTAATACAGGGAACTATAAGAGTATCTTAGCCTTAGCTTCTTGGCACAAAAAGATAGAGGAGAGCTGCATCAAGAAAATTACATAAAGCAACTGAGGACAATATTAAATATATATGTGTATGTGCGCATATACACACACATGCATGTACATACCTATGCACACACATGTACAAGCATACTATATACACATATATGCATGATATACATACATATATTCACACATATACACACATAATATATACACATCCACATACATATGCATGTATGCATGCATCTATACACACATTTACACACATTCACACACACATGTACACACATATACACACATATACAATATATACACACATACACATGCATATACACACACATGCACATACATACACACAGGTACACATGTGCACACACAAACATATGTACATATATACAAATATACATATCTGTATATACATGTACACACATATATACATACACACATGTACATACATGTATGCCTATATACATGCATACACATATACACATACAGTCATGTGCCATATGACATTTTACTCAATGATAGATCGCATATATGATGATAGTCCCACAAGCTTATAATATTAAGTTGGTGCAAAACTAATTGCTGTTTTTGCCATGAAAATGGCAAAATCTAATACAACTAAAAAATTCCTATCACCTAATGATGTCATAACTGTTGTCATGTCGTAATACATCACATTCCTCATGCGTTTGGGTGATGCTGGTGAAAATAAACCTACTGGGCTGCCAGTCATATAAAATATAACACATACAATTATGTACAGCTCACAGTACTTGACAATAATAATAAATGACTATGCTACTGGTTTCTGTATTTATTATACTTTTTATCGCTATTTTAAGAGTGTACTCTTTCTACTTATTTTTAAAAGTTAACTGTAAAACAACCTCCAGCAGGTTCTTTAGGAGGTATTCCAGAGGAGACGCTGTTAGCCTAGGAGATGACAGCTCCATGTGTGTTGCGTGTCATTGCCTTTGAAGACCTTCCAGTGGGACGAGATGTGGAGGTGGAAGGCAGTGATACTGACGATCCTGACCCTGTGTAGGCCGAGGTTAAGGTGTGTGTTTGTGTCTTAGTTTTTAACCAAAAACTTTAAAAGCTTAAAAAACTTAAAAATAGATACCTTATAAAGATCTAAAGAGAGAAAATATTTTTGTACAGCTGTACGATGTGTTTGTGTTTTAAGCTAAGTGTTACTTTATAAAAGAGTCCAAGTTTTTAAAATTATAAAGTTTATAAGGTTAAAAAGTCACAGTAAGCTAAGGTTAATGTATTATTGAAGAAACAAATTTAAAATAAATGTAGCGTAGCCAAAGTGCACAGTGCTTATAAAGTCTACGGTGGTGCACAGTCATGTCCTAGGCCTTCACATTCACTCACCACTCACTCACTGACTCACCCAGGGCAGCTTCCAGTCCTGCAAGCTTCATTCATGGTAAGTGCCCACACGAGTGTATCATTTTTTATTTTTATACCATATTTTTACGGTACCTTTTTATGTTTAGATATAAAAACACTTACCATTGTGTTATAATCATTTACAATATTTTATACTGTAACACGCTGTACAGATTGGTAGCCTGGGAGAAATAAGCTGTACCATATGGCCTAGGTGTGGAGTAGGCTATGCTATCTAGGTTTGTGTTAAGTATACTCTGATGTTCACTCAATGACAAAATCGCCTAGCAATGAATTTCTCAGAATGAATCCCTGTTGTTAAGCAATGCATGACTGTACATACACTCCCCACCACACACACACACGTGCGTGCGCACACACACACACACACACGTACAAGCATACCTCAGAGATATTGCAGGTTTGGTTCCAAACCACGGCAATAAATAGCACTATTAAGTGAGTCATACAGATGTTTTGGTTTTCCAGTGCATATACAAGTTACGTTTACAGTATACTATAGTATATTAAGTGTGCAATAGCATTATACTGAAAAATGTACAGATCTTAATTTGTAAATACTTTACTGTTAAAAAATGCTGACACAGAGATAGGAAGTGGGTACACGCTGTTGGAAAAATGGGACCAATAGACTTACTTGACATAAGGTTGCCACAAACTTTCAATGTGTAAAAAATACAGTCTCTATGAAGCCCAATAAAGTGAAGTGTAATAAAACTAGATATGCCTGTATAAAGTTTTGTTAATCTGCTGACAACTTGTTAACATTCTGTCTTAATATTACCTCTTCATTAACATGAAGTCCCAGGCTTTTTGCATGTTCTCTGTCATCTCGGTGCAACTTCTGATCATAATCTAGTCGCCTCTTAAAAACACAGTCATAGAGGGAAATAATTCCTGTCTAGGAAAAATAGAGAAAGAAAGCCGTGGGTTAATTTGAAGGCTGGGTCATTGAGGCCCGATGGAGCACGGACGCCAATTCTTTCCCAAGGGAGGCTGGAGGTGCATGTGGTGAGTATGTGATAGGAAAGGTCACCTCACCAAGCAGAACCGGCTGTGATGTGGAGCAGGGAGAAGCCCAGCCCTCACCAGCAAGAGAAGGTTGTTAAGAGGCCCAGGATGAAGGAGGGACATTTTCATGGCACTTCTCAACTTTCTCCTCCCTTGTTGAGAGAGGTGGTTCCCCAAGCTCTCTTGCTGTCTGACTCCATTGCTAGAGCTCAAACTTTAAAATAAAAATTTGTCTTAGTCCATTCAGGCTGCTATGACAAAATAACATACAGACTGGGTGACTTCTAAGCAACAGCAGTGTATTTCTCACAGTCCTGGAGGCTGCGAGGTCCAAGTTCAAGGCCCTGTGAGACTCAGCGTCAGGTGAGGGCTATATTTATGATTCACAGATGGTGTCTTCTCCCTGTAGCCTCACATGCTGGAAAGGCAAACAAGCCCCCTCAAGCTTCTTTTATAGGGGCACTAATTCCATTTATGGGAACTCTGCCCTCAGGCCTAACCCCCTCCCAAAGGCCCCGCCTCCCAATACCACCACATTGCAGGTGAGGCTTCAACATATGAATCACAAACATTCAGACCATAGCAAAACCACATCTCTAAGGTTACACATGTGTGTACTTTTCCTTCATTTCTACTTGTCTTGTCTCCTCAAATTTTCTATAAGCTTCAGCTTCTTTGAAAAACAAACAATACCTACATACTAAGATAATGAAACTTAACAGAAGTCATCTTTTAAGTCACTAGTGCAGGAGCCAAGGGCAGACGTCTTCTTTGCCTTCTGAAGGTTGCCTGAAAATCAACTGACAGAAAGGAGATTAAAAGAAGAAAGGGTATACACATTTTCATTAATGTGCATGGGGGACATCTCAGGGTGATTACCCCACCACACCATGGGCTACAGATGCTTGCACAGCCTTCTTCATACGAGAAAGGAAGATGGGGAAATGTGGATGATTTGAGGGAGGCAGTAAGTTATTTTTAGGGGGATACAGTGGTCTGGGAGAAAGTCTGTTGGGCCCACAGAGCAGACGATGGTCTGTGACGAAAGTCTGTCCAGGTGTCTTAGCAGACTTCAACCTGTCTTCCCAGGATGTGAGTGCAGTTAATGAAAACGCAGGGAAGCTACCAGGGGTCATTGTTTTCTTCTTTGGTGAGTCCAGACTTTAGGCAAATAAGCGAACTTTAGAGATCAGCTTCATCAAGTGCTCTGGGAGAGACAAACAGTTGAGAGACAGGAGCCAGGGCCGGGGGTGGGGGTGGTCAGAGAGACTGTGAGACTTCTTTTCTTGAGGCCAGAGTGTCAGAGCGCCATATTTTGGTGTGTTGGTTCCTGAACTCTAACACTAGCCAAGAGTCAGGCTGTCTATGTGCAAACCCCTCTCTTGAAAGATAAAAGTATTTTTTCTTTAATCATATGTGATAAGTGTGACACTTGGTAATCCATAAATATATGAATACATATATTATATATAATATACACGTATATATCATACGTATGTAGTTTACATACACACACAACTCTGATGTATTAGAAAATGACCCATTAACAAAGCTATCATCTGTATTATCTCCATTTTATCATCCCAACTTTTCCTGAATACAAAAGAAAATCTTCCTTGTTCGGTATCTAGTTAAAAAAAAAAAAAAAAGAATGCATGTATTAGCTGGTCTTTAATCTTCACCTTGTCATGCCATTCATTATTCCAGCTGCTTTAAATTTTCTAGCAGCAAACTCAGACATGTCTCCGTGGGATTTGGGAGTATTAGGTCTCTAGCTTATGCTTGGTTGGTTTTGTTTTGTTTTGTTTTGTTTTGTTTTGTTTTTTTTCCCAGTTAGTGATGCTAGAATGATTCCCTCCAACAGGAGGATACAGAGGTAGAAGTAGGCAGTGAAAAGGATGCAAGACTTCTATATAGTATGTTGGAAAACACGTAATGCCCACTCACAGTGACTGCAGGAACTCGGCACTCTGGCCTGTAATGGGAATAACTAGATCATAACGTAGCTTTGGCCAATCCTTAGCAAATCATTCACAGATCATCTGTCATGTGCAACATGCTGTGCTCCTGCTGAGGGGAATTTAGAAGATAACTCAGATGTGGCTACTGTCCTTACTCAACGAGCCATCTAGTAAGGAAACAACATGGTCTTTAAGAATTATTACTTTAAGATTCGCAAGAATTCCAACAGCAACATGTGTAAGGTGCCTGGCCAGCCACTGCAGGGAACCTGGTATGTCTTAGTTCAGAATTACTCTAGTCGGCTTGAAGGAGGAAAACAACCTCCAACCAGGAGCTGTGGCTTCTGCCTCTGTGCCTCTGCTGGTCATTTTATGAGTTACCAGACACAAGCATCTCTTATCATTGTCTTCACTCTCACTCAACTTCTGGATGTGTTCACGTCAAACCACCCTGGCCCTCATGTCTCCTGATGGCAACCTACCATATAGCTACGTACCCACAGGATTTTGTAAAAGCCTGAATCAATGGAGAATTGATAAGTCATTCAACATTTAGTATTGTGACAACTGGCTAGTTATTTGGGCCTTCACATCACACTATAGCCAAAAGTAAATTCTGGATGATAAGACAAATGAAAAAGAAAACCCATTCGAAAACTCGTACACATGAAAACAATAGGTAAAATGTCAAAAATATCAATCACTTTGACTACCTACAAATTAGACATTTGCTTATCAAATAAAATGAAAACTTTAAAAAACCATTTTAAGACATGATAGAGAAATCTCAGTATCTTTAACATCCATAACATAGGCAGCTCTTGGTGCAGAAGCCAATCTGCTGCTAGCCTGCAAGGCTAAGCAAACCTTTTTGGGATGGGCCACTTAGTAACACACATGAAGCCCAAGTACACCACACACACTCTGCAAGGATGAGGGAGGATAAATTCTCCAGAGTAAATACATTGCCATCCAGACCTTTCCTTTGAGATTCACAGCCACTGGCTGGCTAATAGCTTGATCTCCATCACCCCCATGCCACCACACATACACCCAATATTTTAAGGGATTCAATATTAGCCAGGCTCTTGCTCATCATCTAGGTGTTCTGTTGCCTCTGGAATCCCTCCTGACCTGGCTGACCCTGTTCCATGGGTTTTGGGGAGAACAGCTGCAGTGTACAAAATGAAGACCTAGTCTCTAGAACTGAACCCCTGGAAGAAAGCTACACTCATGGCCAGGAGGCCCTCTCTCCTCCTGTACCCTGAGAACCTTGAGGCAAAGTGGAGTGACTGATGGCCCTTCAAACCCTATAATGCTCCCTGCGTGTGGGCAGCCCCCCTCACCCAGTGTATTAGTCTGTTCTCATACTGCTGATAAAGACATACCCAAGACTGGGCAATTTACAAAAGAAAGAGGTTTAATGGGCTTACAGTTCCATGTGTCTAGGGAGGCCTCACAATCATGGCAGAAGGTGAAAGGCACTTCTTATGTGGCGGCAGCCAGAGAGAGAGCTTGTGCAGGGAAACTCCCCTTTTTAAAACCATCAGATCTCATGAGACTCATTCACTATCACAAGAACAGTGCAGGAAAGATCCACCCCCATAATTCAATCACCTCCTACTGGGTTCCTCCCATAACACATGGGAATTGTGGGAGTTACAATTCCAGATGAGAGATCTGGATGGTGACACAGCCAAACCATATCACCCAGATCTGAGAGACAGCCCTCCAGAGTGGGTGGCACGAACAGCAGGGAAAATAGATCCTCCAGGAACTGCCTGGTCTTGTATTTTCTTCTGCACAGTGATTTTAATCAGGTCCGACCCTCCTGAACTGAGTGAGCGCCCACTGGGGTGCTTGGATTATCCTGGGAGAAAAACTCTGAAGAAGAAAGGACTTCAGAATAGAATGAGAATGCAATTACTATTATCAGAATGAGAAAGGATATGTTCATTCATTTTGTTCCCTATATTGAAGAAGCCCAGTGTAATATGCAACTTTACAGAGAAAATGCCTATTTCTTCTCATTCTAATCAGGTCTCCTAAAACACTATAAAAGCAACCACTATGAGCAGCCATGCCTGCCTCACAATCCCTGGATTAGTTGCCAACGATCTTCTACATCTTAGTCTTTACTAGGAATCTCACTGCTTGTGGGTATGGAGTGATCAGAATCTTAGGAAGCTTATTTTTGTGCAGATTTTGCATATTCAGAACTTTCCAGAGTACAAGTGAATTTTTCTATCATTGAAAAATAAGGACCCAAAAAAAAAAAAAATCATCAGTAGACAGGCAGCCTCACTTTGAAATGTGACTATCCATTTTCAATAACTAATCAAACTGAAAATCTGTTGTTTCCCTGGATTTTAATTATTAATCTTTCTTTTTTTTTCTTTTATTCCCATATGGCTTGAAGCAAAATGGTACAAATAAAAACCAATTGGGATTTAGATGCTAATCACAAGACAGAGCTTCTGAAATTACTGAAATTTTGCCATTAAAATTCCTCAAGGAATTGTCTCTATTTCACAGATGATGTTCCTTTTTTTAAAAAAAAAAAAAAAAAAAAAAAAAAAGCAAAACAGAAAATATCCATTTTTTACCTTGTGATCTCTCCCTTTGTGTTTTGAATATTGTTAAAACGTAGCATAACCTTAGCCTGGTCATGGTACCTGATCACCTACCCTCAGTTTACCTCACAATAACCTCCACCCCGATCCTGAGAAATTGCTGTGGTCCACAGACCTGGGCAGATGATGTGGGTAGAGTGGAGGCCTCCAGTTTTCAACCTCCACAGCACATTAGGCCTACCATTGTGTGAGACACTATGCCAGGCTCCAGGACAGAAATGGGGAGTCCCTACCTTAAAGAGACCACAGACTAAGAAGAGAAATCAACCCATTAGTTATGAACCACAGAAAAATACAAATGGAATAAGAGAAGTTTGCACAAAGTAGAGTAGCAGAAAAGAATGAATGATAGGCAATTGCTTGGGCCAGGGGGAGGAAGTGCAGGTGACTGAAGGTGAGACGGGAGACTGCACCACACTGCTGTGGTTAGAACCACTGCCGAACAACCTCACTGGATGTGATCAGCTGACTTATGTCCTCCAAGCATTCACATGTTGAAGTCCTAACCCCCAGGAACTCTGAATGTGACCTTATT